ACTTCTATGCAGTCTTTGGAGCCCACAAGTCCCCCGAGACAGCGGACTCGTGGATCCAGGGGCTGGGAAGGGGGAATGGGGAGACACCCGGACATGCGTGTGGGGTTTACTTTGGGGTTCAGAGATGTTCTGGAACTAGGCAGAGGTAGTGCTTGTACAACATTGGGAAATGCCACTGCATTGTTTGCTCTGAAGCTATTTACTGATTGTGGATTTCACCTCAGAATATTATTTTAAAAAGTTAGTTCTAGGGGCGCCTGGGCGGCTCAGACGGTTGAGCATCCGACTTTTGGTTTCAGCTTTGGTCATGGTCTCGGGGTTGTGGGATGATGCTGAGCCCCGTGCTGGGCTCCGTGCCCAGGCGGAGTCTGCTGGAGACTCTCTCCCTCTGTCCCTCCCTCTGCTTGTGCCCTTGTGTTCTTTCTCTCTCCAAACAAGAGAATGAATCTTAAAAGTTAGTTCTAGAACTTTTCAGAAACTGTGCTAGTATCTGATTTCCTCACTCGTTCCTGTTGCCCTAACCCCACCAACTCTTTCATGTGCTTTCCCACTTAAACATTGTGCTTTGAGAGGAGGTTATATTCTGCCCACATCACTGGTCACTGAGATCCTCTGGGTCGGGGTCTCAGGAGGTCACAGTCTTTAGACACACAAGTATCACTTTGAGAACTAAAAGCTCACTCTGTTACCCAGTGTGGTGCTGCAGGCTGGCTGAATCCCAATGACATTTTCCTTCATCTCTGAATAATCCATAAGGAAAGCTATGGGATCCTTGAACTCAAGTTGAGTTCATGGCCTACTGATTTGGCATAAAAACCACTTCTTTAAGAAAATCCACAGGGAGTGCCTGGGTGGCTCAGTGGGTTAAAACTCTGCCTTTGGCTCAGGTCATAATGTCAGGTTTCTGGGATCGAGGCCCGCATCGGGCTCTCTGCTCTGCGGGGAGCCTGCTTCCCTCTCTCTCTGTTCCTGCCTCTCTGCCTACTTGTGATCTCTGTCTGTCAAATAAATAAATAAATCTTTAAAAAGAAATAAAAGAAATTCCACAATTGTACTGTTAAAACAGTACGTATTATAATTGTAATTCCTCTTCCCGGTGATGTCTTTGAGTGCCAAAATACCCTGAAGATAACTTTATTGGATATTTTTCCTTAAATGATTAGAAAAAAAAAACTAAAACTCAATCCTTTTTATCTCTTACTTGTAGGAAAATCTTTCTTCCTGTCACTGAATCACAGAATGATAGCTAACATTTATTGAGCACTTACTATATACCAGAACTTTTTTTTTTTAAGACTTTATTTACTTGAGAGAGAGCAAGCGTACGAGTGGGGATGGGGGTGTGGGGGGAGGGGCAGAGGCAGAGGGAGAAGCAGACTCCCTGTCGAGCAGGGAGCCTGATGTGGGGCTCCACCCCAGGACCCTGAGATCATGACCTGAGCCGAAGGCAGACGCTTCAGCGACTGAGCCACACAGGTGCCCATACTAGACACTGTTTTAAGAACATTATAATACTATTATCATCCCCACCCTAAAGATGGCATGGTGGAGGGGCTCGTCTGCCCACTCACTCAGTGGGGAAACCAGGGTTGGAGCCCGGGGTTCGCAGCATGCCTCCCAACCACTGAGCCCTCAGCCATGGTACCGCACTGCCCTATGTCTCATCCTGGCAGGAGAAAGAGCCGAAGGGATCCCAGAGTCATTCTATGCCCTCCACTCTGCAGGCAAAGTGCACAGCCTGGGTCAGAGCTGTCCACCAAACCATGATTCCTCCACTTGACAGTAAAGGGGCGGGCCTTCCTTCTGCCTGTCCTTTCCGTTCATTGACAATTAATTCAGGCGTTTCTTCTCTTCTGCTCTGTGTACCATTGTCCCCACCCCAAAGCACACACACAGAGCACACATACCTCCTCACACAGGGTCTTATCAAACTTCCCTCTACAGCCGTTTCAGACCTGCTTGGATGGTTTCCTTAGAAAAATAAGGTTTCCCAGGCTCAGCTGTAATCCAGCTGCTCCCTTCTGAGGATGTCGTTTTTATTCTTGAAAGTCACAGGCGGTGATGTTAGCTTGGGTCAGGCGGGAAGCAGTACACAGGCATCCCACAGGGCACGCACTACGTCTGTGAGGCCCACAGAAGGTTGGGGCTGGGCAGGGGAATAAAAGTGGGCTTTAGAAGAGGAGGAGGGTGACCAGCACGTGACAAGTACTTGTCAAGCACCTACTTTGTGCAATGCAGTATGATAAGCACCAGAGCACCAGGGAGAAAAAGCAAAGCCATTACTGTCTGGGGAGACAGTCCACAAAGACCAGGCACAAGACGAGGTCAGCTCAGACTCACAGAAGCCCTCCGAAGGTGAGGCCAAGCAGGAAAGGGACTCGGGGTGGGGGTGGGGTGTGTGTGGCTGTGGAGCGGGTATAGACAGATGACCGGGGGAGCTTTCTGAGGGCGATGCCTACCATGGTTGGGGGTCTCTGGGTCTGCGAGCCGCAGACAGGTGATATTTCTTTAGGGGACGTGCACATACTTGCTACCTTGCTGACCTGAACAACTTAAAATTAATTCATGTCCTAAACTGCTGTAGGTATTAAATTTTAATCCCTGTCTCAGGTCTTAGAATTGTCACATAAGAGAAATCTGCCATAAAGTATCTTTTGCAGAATCTGATTTTCTCCATACTGGGGAAAATTCTGTAAGGTCAGACAGTCTCTGAGAGCTGAGGACTTGGGCCCAGGCTTGAACTGGGGTGCCTAGAAACACCTGGAAGAGCACCCCAGTTCTCAGGACAGAAGAAGCCTTCAATTTGGGAATGATGGGAATTACCTCTCAAGAAGCAACTACACTTCGTTTTTAAAGTGAACCCAGAGGGTGCTCTGAGGTGGGTGGGCCATCATTACCCCGACCCTAACCCTGGTGAGGAACAGACTGGAGCTCAGAGAGGTAGAACTACAAACCCAAAGGGCGACAGCTACAGAGGGTGGGTGTGGGTGCACATCCGATCTCCAAGATTCCAGGCCCGTTCTCCAGGCACCAGGTCAGGGTCTGGAGCCCCTTCCCCCACTGCAAGGTAGATGGCAATGGCAGGATGCCTTCTGCTTCCAGGACCACAGGTTCTCAAGATACGCTAGGATCCACATGTGTAGGACAGGGCTTGCCCCCGCTCAGCCCACCTGTCTGTCCCCCACCTCCATCACCCCAGCCTCCTCCTCTTCATTCCCTACCCCCTCAGAAGTGTGCTGGGCTCTTCAGTTGGACCAACCCTCTTCCCGGGCTCACTCTTCTCTGCTGGCTGATCAGGGAGCGCATCTGCGGAGTGGTGGGCCCTGACAGGGCTGGAGGGACAGAGGAGGGGAGGAAGCCCAGAGCCCACGGGGCAGGAGGGCACATCCTGAACAGGGGCTCACTGCTTCAGGGCACAATTGTGTGGAGAGGAAACCACTGCTTCAGGGCTGCCTCTTGGCTGCACAACAGGTAACAAGCAGGTTTTCAGTTCAAACACAGAGAGAGGGCACATCAGCTCTGTCTGGAAGGAGGGAGGTGGTGGCGTGTGAACTGGGCTTAAATTATTCTCATCTAAAATGCTGAGATCTGGGATTTGGGGGTTTCCTGTGTTTGGTTGGACGATACAACCAGTGAACACACATCTCAGAGAGCCTAAGGACAAATTCAGGGCCGGCTTTATTTCCTTAGTTTGGCATTTTTGGGCTGCTCCACAAGGAATACAGTACTCCTGGGAGACCACCCAGGGATGCTACAGATACACAGGCCCACGTTCTACAGAGGCCACTTCAGACCAGGCCTGCCTGACGGGGATAAAATGGGGAGGCCTGTCCTGCTTGTCACAGGTCAGCGGGGACCCAGGCCCACCTGCCCACTGGGAAGCTCAGGGCTGTCCTCTCCAGGCCCACCCGGACCGCCCACTTGTCCCCCAAAGCACAGTGAGATGAAAACGTGGTGCCGCTTCAGAATCAGGACTGGGATTGCTACCTGGGTGTCAGATGCCCAGCCCGGCCAATGCAGACACGATTCTGCCAGGAATGGAAACCTGGTGCTGCTGTTTAACGTCTCAGAACCCGAGTGCGCTTTCCCTGAGAGCAAAGAGTGACGCGTTCAGATCCTCCTCACTCGGAAACCCTGTGAATCTGAAGCGGGTTCAGGGAAAGGGAAGCCGAACTCAGGAGGGCCCCTGGGAAATCTCTCCTGACCTGCCAAGCCCAGCCTCCTCTGAGCACCCACGGCCCTGCCTAAGGGTCCGCTAGTGTCAGAAGCAGATTCCTAAGCTACTCATTATGCAGAGTTTCAGCTACATTTAACTTAAATTTTTAATTATATGTTTTAATTTTTAATTAGACAGCTGAGAGTACCAGCTACACTTTTTAAGTACAAGCGCTGCTGGTAACAGGAGTGGAGTGTAATTACCGCAGCGAACCGTGTGTAATCCGGCTCCCTGGGGACAGCGGGGGCAAACCCGGCGCTGGCGCATTCCGCACGCAGGGACACAAAGCCGCTCTGCCCCCCTGGGTCTGGCCCCTGTTCCACACCGGGAAGGGCGGTCTCGCTTCCCCGGGCGACGCTCCCGGTTGAAATCAACCGGTTCCAACACAAAAGTCCATCTTCGTGGAGAACCGCGAGTACAAGCTCTTTGTCTTCGGAGCGCCGGGGGTGGGGGGTTCGACCTCCCGCTTCCCAGCTAATGAGTAACCAGAGAACCGGGCGAAGCCTCCACCAGGGCTTGAGTCCCGCACTCCGCCTTCAGTCCCTTCCGACCCCAGCAACGCAAATCCGTCTGGAAACCCCATTTTCTCCGGAGGACTCCCGAAGTGCAGGCCAGAGTTTGCCAAACGGTCTCCAAGCGCCTGGAGAGCCCAAGCTCCCGCCCGCCGGGCCCCACCTCGGTGCCCCTCCCGGTCCCCGCCCGC